TCGGGTGGAATAAACAGCAGAAATTAATTTTCTCACAGTTCTTGAGGTTGGAAGTCCAAGATCAAGGTGTTGGCAGGTTTGGTTTCTCCTGAGCCCTCTCTTCTTGGCTTGTGGATGGCGTCTTCTCGCTGTTTGCTCACATGGCCGTTGTGTGCGTGGAAAGAGAGTGAGCTCTGGTGTCTCTTCCTCTTCTTAGAAGGATACCAGTCCTATTGAACTACAGCCAATTCATATGACCTTATTTAGCCTTCAAGACTGCTTTACATGCCCTACTTCCATATACAGTCACATTCTGAGGTGTACTGGGGTTAGGACTTTAACATATAAATCTGAAGGGGACACAGTTCAGTCCATAACAGACAGCCTTAAGAAGAACCAAGGCTGTTGCAAGGTTGTTTACCCAGATGGAGACACAACAGTGAAGCAAGAGCCATCTGCAAACGGTAGGCCATCCAACTGGCCTCGGCCAAGCCCAAGTGCAGGTTTGAGGACATCCAGGAGCCAGAGTCCCAACACCAGGCTCCTACAAAGTGTAAATAAGCATTCTCTGAATGCTGGTTGCTTACTTGGAGATATTTTTAAGTGTCTCTAGTCTTTGAAAAGGGAACTAAATGTTCCCCCTGCCTCAGCCCCTGCTGCCTAAGAAGCATGTGATGGAAAAACCAGGCTGGGCTAGGGACAGAGTGGGAGCGAGCGAGCTCTCAGGTCTTCACATTGATTTATGTTGTGGTTAGTGGTTGTAGTGATTGGGCTTCTCACTGGTGATTGGTATGATCTGGAGGTTGGCGTTGTTAAGGAGAGGTTTCGGTGATGAGTACAGAAAATAGAAAATTACTGTAAATAAGGTGGTAGTTAGCTGTTTTTAATTTTATACAGCTCATTATACCATGGTCAAATGAAAACCTTGACATTTGGGGCAGGAAGCATGTGGCTAGTGGGGGTGAGTAGACTCCAGTCCTGGCTGCTGCAGAGTGAAAGTCTTTCAAGAGCCTCACAGAAGCACGCAGCGAAAAGGGAGCGTCGGAAATCAACACTGGTGATTTCTTCTTCCAGATAGAGTTGTGTACCCTATAGATTCCTTACTCTGCTAGCCAATACACAGATCAGGATAGGGGCACTGGGGATGAGGGTGTGGACTTCCCCAACATACTGGGCACAGGCAATGATGTTCTCATTAGATCAGGCCAGTGGAACACATTGTTCGCACTCTGAGGCCCTCAGTCACGGAGGTCAGATGAACACAAAGCCGCGACATCGCTAAGGCCAGGCTGCACTGTTAAGGCAAAGGCCTAGCTTTTCTCCAGACATCTTAGGAAAAGGCAAAACGTTTTCCTGGGTTACTTCTTGCGCGGCTGGAAAAAACAGTCACCCAAAGACTGAAGTGCAAGAAATTGTGAGTCTTTGGTACATCATCTGCTTTCAGGTCAAAAGAACTTTGAACATGTTTGTCTCTGCAATAAAATCCCACTTCTAAAAGGGATTCTATCTTCTTTTTGAAAACGATGACGTTGAAAGAATATAACATAGCGATATCATAGTATGGCACAGTGGTTAAAAGAATGGACTTTGGGGGCAGGTGACCTGAGTTCAAATCCAGTCTCTGACACTGACGGGCTGTGTAACTGCGGACAAGCGAGGTATTCTTTCTGTGCATAACGGTACCTTCCTCCTGGAGGTGTTGTGAGAAATACACACACAAGGGCTGGGGACCGTGGCGGGCATATGGGACAAAGCAAACGTTATCATGAGTACTGAACAGAGGCTCCTTTGGAAATTTCACTGGGTTAAAGGAGAGAGAAAGAGAGACAGGGAGAGAGAGAGAAAGACACAGAGATAAAGTATGAGTGTGAGAGAGAGACAGACACAGAGACATAGAGTTGCAGGGGAGAGAGAGATAGGCTGTGTATACCTACAGGTAGGAAGCAAAGGAAGAACAAACTGGTTCTTATGAAGCCTCGCTGGAAACACTATCACAGCAGTCCCCACCTTTTTGGCACCAGGGGCTGGTTTCATGGAAGACAATTCCATGGATGGGGGTGGAATGGTTTCAGGATGATTCAAGCACATTACATTTATTGTGTACTTTATTTCTACTATTATTACATTGCAATAAAGGAAATAATCATACAACTCACCACAGTATAGAACCAGTAGGGTGCCTCACCTTGTTTTTCTGCAACTAGACGGTCCCATCTGGGGGTGATGGGAGACAGTGACAGATTGTCAGACATTAGATTCTCATAAGGAGCAACCTAGATCCCTCGCATGTGCAGTTCACAATAGGGTCCGAGCTCCTATGAGAATCTAATGCTGCGGCAGTTCTGACGGGAGGCAGAGCTCAGGCAGTAGTGGGAGTGATGGGGAGTGGCTGTAAATACAGATGAAGCTTCACTTGCTTGCCTGCTGCTCACCTACTGCTGTGTGGCTTGGTTCCTAACAGGCCAGAGACCAATGGGTGTTATAGATCAGGGTTGGGAACTCCTCCCACATGTGGGCCTGTGGCTTAGTTGATACACCATACATTTTTCCCTTTCTCTAAATGGAATGTGATATAGTCCCCTCTTTCTGAGCCTCTATGGCCTTGCAAAATCAGGGAAACACCTTTTTCTGCCTGGGCCCAGTCTCACCTTCCTCTCCTCTCCATCTTGACAAGTATCCCTGGCTTGGAATCATCAGCCACCAGTTCCCCGCCCCTTGGCGTGAAGCTGCCATCACCAAAAATCCTTCCTTTGCCCAACGGGTATCTTGAAACCTCTGAGAATTTAGGCCTTAGAAATATTCTCTGGCATATGTCTTACAAAGAAACTTGCTGATGTAACAGAAAATGTCTATTCATGACTCTGGAAATGAAGGGAGGTAGTAAGGGGGGAGCTAGGAAGCATACGAAAGAAGGAAAGAAAGAAGGTAGGGCAAGAGGGTGAGGGAGGTGAGGATGGAAGGCACGGAAGGGAGGGAAGCAGCATTTTCAAAGTTTACTGTGAAGAAAGAAACAAAAAGTGGCAACGTGAGCCTCTTCATGTAAATCTACATGAAAACATGAACATCTGTCCCAGCCAGGATAAATTTAACATGCAGAGAAATATACACACTAGAATGTTAAAGGCAGCAGGATACACAGTATGATTAGAACATGTTAAAACCAAACACAAACAGACGCAGGAGAAATGATCTGAAGGAAATACTTCCCAACTGCTAGCAGTGGTGGTCTTTGGGAGCTTTTGAGGAATTTTCTTCTTCTTTTGATGTCACCGAAAGGGCAGACTTATTTAAAAGGGAAATCTCACTGCACTAAGATCACCCCTTTCACAGCCTACTCTCAGCAAGGCAGCTGGAGCATTCAAGAGCCTATTTGCCTTGTTCCTTCTCCATTCCAGCATTTCTCACCTTGCACCAGGTTCCTTCATTTCTTGATGGTGTCTTCACCCTCTAGCACCTTCCTGCCCGTCCATCCCGTCCATTTGTCAGAGGGCTGCTGGACCCATCTACCTCAATTAACGGCCACTTCCCACTCTCTCCCACCCTCGCCTGGGTCATCCACCTCCCGAATCGCTCCTGCATCCTCCCTGCCACTCCCTAGGCTGGAGTCCAAGTCTGGTCCACATCTCTTCCCTGCCTCTTGCCCTCAGGAGAAGGTACAAACCCTCCCATGGTATACACTGACGTCCATACTCGCCTCCCTCTCCTTCCCTCCCTGTGCCCCACACAGCCAGGTGTCCTGGCCTTCTCCTAAGCTGCAACAAGTACCTCTGAATATTTTTACCACAGCCCTTACCACATTAACCCAAAAATGTCTGTTTCTTATGTGTCATATCCCCCCAGTTAGAAACTCTCTAAAGGCAGAGACCGTGTCTGAACACGGTTGAACTCCCAGTCCCTAACACAATACCCTGGCACAGGCTGAATTCTGTATCCACACCATCTTGCTGAATCTGGCCTTGTTCGTCAAAGCCTTTCCATGGTTCTTCTCTGAAGACCATCCAAACCCTCAGCCTGACTTTCAGAAACATCGAACGGCTGGTTTAAACCTAGCTTTGCCACCTTAATGGCAAGTGAACACCACCTCCCTCCAAAAATGGGCTCCGCCATACTGAGTGCTCACTTCTCCGGAGCATACCTCACACATGTTCTCCCCGTGCCCAAAACACCCTCTCATCTTTGGGTTTCCTAATTCACTCTAGTTCTCCCTCAACTCCCAGCTCCGGCGCCACCTCCTCTTAAAGTCCTTCCTTCCACCCTACTCAGCTTCTGAAACTATCCGTGATCCTTTGCTGCTTCTGGAACTTCTCATGTGTGTGTATCTCACGTTGATAATTCAATGTAGGTAAGCCCCTCTCCCGGTCATGCTGCACATGCACTTGGACCTAGGGCCTCCTCAGTAAGAGCTGCTGACTGGCTGATGTAGGTCACGTGCTGCCATGGAGGTGACTCTGCTGGGTGTGCCAGTTTTGGTTACCAGGCTATGGATCCATGTCTCACACAGGCCGCACCTTGAGGGAGGGCCCCTGAACCTAAGCAGGAGAGGTTCAGTCATCCTAGTTCTGCCCCAACTGTGCTGCCTCTGCTTCCTGATCGCCTGTCACAGGCCACTGGGTGGGCCGCCAGAGAGGCCCTGCCACAGCTTGCTTAGGGACCAGGACAGGCCCCGGTGGACCAAGGGCCCCGCACCTTGCAGCCAGCGTCCTGGTGCTCAGAACAACCCATGCATCTTATAGACACCATGGTTTGCTGAATCTCTAGGCAAACTGTTACTGTCCATGGGAAAGTATCAGGAACCAGAAAATCGTGTTTGTTTTCCTTCTCATTATAAACTTCCAATGGCTCCCCTCTGAATACTGACTAAGGCAGTAAGTAGCCTGGTATTCGAGAGCTTACACATTTTTATTCAAATCTGTCTTTCATTAATTGGATACTGTCCAAGGCCACCCAGCCTGTACCTTTTACTCATTTATAAAGAAATGGAAAATTCCTTACTGAACAAGTGAATGAATAAATGCATCCAATGGTGGTTGCCATACACTCTATATAACACGTTCTCTGGATTTACTAATAAAAAACGCTGTAGGCGTCTTCCGGCGGCTTTCCCTCATCCTGGTTTGCATTGCAGGGGCTCTGGCTGTGACCAGTGCTGAAGACTGCAGGGCACCTGACAAGACCTACATCTTGACTTCCAGAGAGGAGGGTGATGTCGTGAGTCACTGCCTGGTCTTCCCCCTCTCTCTGCACATGTGGTGTCAGCCGTGGTGCCTGCCAGCCCAGGACAGGACTTGCTACATATGTCAGCAGGGGAGGAGACCCGAGTCACCCCGAGTTAGCAGCAGAGAATCCCTATGGGTCCGCAGGAACTTCAGTCCCTACCTCCTCAGAAGAAAGAATTTGACTGAGGGGCATGAGGCAGAAAAAGAGAGCGGGCAAGTTTCAGAGCAGGAGTGGAAGTTTAGTTAAAAGGCTTTAGAACAGGAAAGAAAGGAAAATTCGCTTGAAAGAGACCCAAGCAGGCGCCTGAAGGTCCAAGAGAGAAAAGAGAGCTAAAGAAGACAGTTAAAAAAAAGAGGGTCTTTAACCTTGATCCTGGGACTTTATAGGCTTGCCTCTTTCCCAGGAGTCTTCCCATACAGGGTGGGTTTCCTGCATGCACAGTGCCCGCCTTACCCTTTGGAATGGAGCATGCAGAGTGTGGTTAGGGGAAGGTCCAGGCAGGGCCCTCTGAGGCTTTCTTCCGTTTTCTGGTGGAGTAGTGACCACACGTCACCATTTTTGTCTCTTAACAGGCATGCCCAGGAAGTTGCTTCTCCCTGGGGCCTGCGTTCAATTAACATTTGGATGTTAACAGGTGCGGACCATCAGGAAATGGTCTCTTCCTGCCTCGTGGAATTGTCATTTTTAGAGAAGGCATGCGATGATGGCCAAACCATCACCCAACATTTCTGGTGGGCGGTGGGGAGAGCCCTCTCCTGCCCCTTTCATGTCTAACTACCTGGAACACACAGAGGAGGCTTGGCTGGGACTTCCGAGTGAAGGTACTGGAGTAATTCTGCTGTTATTGACTGTGATGGTAAAGAATTGGCTGTGTTATTTTCCATTTATTTACTCCCATAGATTCTCCACTTCAATGCAGGGAGGTAAGATTAGGGAGCTGGCCCATGCACAGCTCAGTAGACCACTGGGGATGAGACTTGAGGGCCCCTGGGCCTGCAGTCGGCCCATTGTACCCAGATCAGTGCGAGGGATTCTCACACTCCAGCTGCTACAAAGCTGGGCCTTTATCTCTGCTTATCTAGAAAGAGGCCTGAGCGGGTGACTCATTCTCATACATCAGAGGATCCGCAGTGCTCCAGCCCTGCCCCAACCTCCCTGTGTCTACTGGGACAGCCTCAGCGACAAGGGAAAGAACAAAGAACAAAGGAAAAAACTCGAGTTTTAAAAACTGGACAGAGTGAGGAGGAGCCTCCTCAGGACTGGTTCTTTTCTCCCTCTTTGGCCTCTCTTACCCACTCACTACCATCGATGTTTACGCTCTTGTAATGTTCACACTGTTTGTCATTCCCTGGGAGCGGCTTGTCCACCAAGCTTCTGCATTTGGGGCTGAATGACAAGAAATCAAAGGGACGAAATGGGCCAACTCCCTAATCTTATCTCCCTGAATTGAAGTGGAGAATCTATGGAAGTAAATAAATATAAAACATATAGTCAATTCTTGACCATCACGGTCAACAATGGCAGAATCTCCAGGAGGAAATGCACTCTGGAGGACTTCCTTCGTCTGAGACATCTAACCTGGGGACAGCTCGGCTCTGTGTCCCACCTCCACCACCACAGACTCTCTGCCCACTGCTTCTCTGTATTCCCCAAGATCTGGGGTGTTCCATTTGGGTTCCTGGAGAAAGAAGAAATGTTTTCTACCTAGAGTGAATATACCTGGTGTCCTTCCAAATAGCTGCAGCCCTTGCATTTTTAATAAGAAGGAAGCCCTGATGAATGTCACAAAGCCAATAAATGTGGCCACCACCACACTGGAGATGTTCCTATACATCTGTCAAGTGCCCACAGTGTGCAGGGCAGAGCAGAGATTAGACATGTTGCCCACCCAATGGGCTGATGATCAAAGTGCCTGTGTGTTTCTGTAGGTATTTCCAATTCAGTTTACATTTTAGAAGAAAATAAATACACTTGGACAACCATCTCCTGTTCTTCTTCCTCCCGCCCTCCACCTTTGATGATGGAACAAACCCATTCCCCTTCCCTCTCCCTTTTATAGTAAAACAAGTCCTTGCAGGTGTCAGTGGGGCTGCTCAGGGGCAAGGCCCGCGGATCCCAACTCTGCACCTAGGAACTGGCTGATCCTTGTGACCCTGTCAACTGGGACCCACTTGTAGCCAACCTCTCTCTACACTCCCAGCAAGACCTGCAATTGCTGTTTCGTCCCAGATCCCAGTGGTTCTAGCTAGACCCAGGCCAAAGATTACTTGGGCCTTTTGATGAAAGGCCTTTGGGAAATTAGCACCTTTCCACTGGGATGTTGGAGGTGCAGAAACTTGCCTACCTCTGCGATTCTGTTGAGTGCCTGACATCCTGAAGGTTTGCCAGGGATCCTCCCAGCCCTAGTCTAACCTTGAATGAGCTGGCACTGGCTGGCCAGCCTGCCCTCACCTGGGATCCCTGTTTGGCTTGGCTTTTGTCAAGGAGTCCAGGAGCCTGGGGAACTAGAGAATGAAGCAACAGCTCACCAAGGGCGAATTCCTGCCTAGCGCCTGGTATCTGGTTTCCGAGCCAAGCATGGGTGGTTCTGTTTCTGTTGATTCCTGACTGTGGTTGCATGCTGCATCCTGGTTCTCTGTTCCTACCTGGATATTCCTCCCCAGAAGGAATTAAGTCCAGGGCTCTGAGAGCTGCAGGCCCAGATGTAGCTCTTATATGCAAACACTTCCACTTCTGAATTCTTAGAAGTTACTAAGACCCCTTAGAGCCATGCTGGGGTCCTTTGCCCCTTCCTTAGGGCTCAACTTAATTGACTTGGCTGGGTGTTATTTTAGACACCTGAAATAGGCAAGTGCTTGGTATCAGGGTGGTTTAAATTTCAGAGGGGCACGTTGTGGCATAATGTTTGAGGCTGGGACTTACAGTGCACAGATTAGAGCCTTCTTTGTCACTCTAACAGTTTTGCTCATTTTTACCCACCATTTGTCAGATGACCCTTTGGGTGTTGGAGAGTTATATCTGACTGTTTTTGCACATGGGTCAGAAATGTATGAAAGATAGTCTGAAATTCTTGCCTCCTTCTCTAGAGCAAACCCAGCAGCTCAGACTGCAGCAAGCTGCTGATGTTCCATCTCTGTGAACCGGCAGGTGATAAGCTGAGGAATGCCTGCTCCTGTCCCCATTCTCACCTGAGATCCCAGAAGCTGGCATGCACCACACAGCCTGGGTGTGCCAGGGACGAACTTGTTTAAGCTGTCCTGTTATAAACATGAAAACACCCCCTGTTGTTCTCAAAAGTGAAAGTTGGACAATAAATTATGGAGTTAACCTACGTATAGAGGACAGCCCATTTGTTCTAGCTGTTCTTTCCAGACGTACAGAGAGCATATTACGGCTGGAGAAGTTAGGGCTGAGAAAGGGAAGTGACTTGTCCACACTCACATAGTGAGTCAGTAGCTGAACTGTTTAAGAGAATCCAGGAGCTTTGACTAATGTGCTACTCACTCCTGACACCACCCTGGTAAAGGGAGTAGAAAGGACAGGAATAGGTCAGTTGACAGCACACGGTGGAGGAGAGAAGCCTGCATGCCTCTGCATGTGAAATGACGTTAGAAGGCTTCCAAAGGCAGGTGCAAAATAATAGTGCACAAAGCAATTGATCCTTAGTGGAAGCTCAGGGACTGGTGGTTGATGAGTGACTTGATGAGCTACAAGTGCCTATAGGGAGAAGGGAAACATCAAGCAGGATGACTGCAGGGTGCTGCAGAGATGACTCCTGGCGGCTGGCTCAGCCTGAGCCTGTGATGGGGCAGAGGTTGTCCTGGCACTGTACGGGAGGAAGGACCTGGGCTACCTCTAAGTCTACTGAGGCGTTATTTACCAAGGGGAGGATTGAGAAAATCTGCCAAGGAGAAAGAGGTGAACCCAGCATGAAGGAAGGAGGTGTAAGGACAGAGGGCAGACAAGACTGCCTGGAGCAGAGGGAGATGGAAGAAAAGACACAAAGAATGTCTGCCCAGCATCCTCATTTTTTTGGTTTTCTGGGAAAATGGTGCAACTCTTGCAAGCGGCGATTACAGAGGGTGGGAGTAGGAGAGAAACCACAGTGATTTTTCTTTCAGGACCAAAAAAATGTTTTCCCCAAACTAAACAAAGTCAGATTGAGAAATTCAACATAGTACCTTAGGGACCTGGTGGCTCATAGCTGCGTCTTGCCACAGGCGCAGGCCTCAGATGCTCACGCCGCCTGGGGAGGAGCATTTAAACTCTTAAGTGAAGAGGACACGTAAACCTTCCAAGATCAAAACACTCATGGCCTCTTTTTGCAAAATAGTTTTTGTCGGCCTCCTACAGACAGTGGTGGTGGCACCTTTTGTGAACCACAGCAGGACATGTGCCTGGATGCCCCCTTCCACACCTGTTACCTGCCCAGGGAGCCTCACCTGCCTCTCATAGGACAGCTTCATAGCCTGTGACTTCAGTGTGGGCCTCTTACACTGAAAGCCCCCAGTGATGGCTGCAGTTGTTGCCTAAAAGGTCATTTCCGGCTGGGCGTGGTGGCTCACACCTGGAATCCCAGCACTTTGGGAGGCCAAGGCAGGCAGATCATGAGGTCGAGAGATCGAGACAATTCTGGCCAACATGGTGAAACCTGGTCTCCACTAAAAATAGAAAAATTAGCTGGGCATGGTGGGGCACATCTGCAGTTCTGGCTACTCGGGAGACTGAGGCAGGAGAATTGCTTGAGCCCGGGAGGCCGAGGTTGCAGTGAGCCGAGATCGCGCCACTGCACTCCAACACTCTAGCCTTGCGACAGAGAGAGACTCCATCTCAAAAGAAAAAAAAAAAGGTAATTTCCCTCAGATGACACCAGTGCTTTAGGATCATTAAAAAAACAAAGGAATCTTCTAATTACAAGATGAAACTCTGCCTTCAAAAAGGGAGATGCGGCTAGATTCTTCAGGAAAAACTGGAGCTGGGGCCTGGGTGGTCTTGCTGGTATTCTTTCTTTTGTGATTTCATTAAATGAAGCCATTCATTTCAGAGCTGCCTTAAAAAAATGTAGGAGTCATTCAACCTTCCTCAGCAAATTACAGTGATTTTAAATGAACAAAAAAGTCAGTGGCCCTATTCACACTCCCCACTCCCCTGGTCAGGAATAATGTATCTGACGATGGAAATTATCCATAGCCTAGAAAGAAAAAATCATTGCAGCTTCTCTGTTGCACATTGTACTTTCAGATTTTTATTTATGTGAAATTCTCATTCTCAACTGTCTGATTTCTGTTAACCTTAGGGCTCTAAATCTAGTCAGGTCTTGAGCCTGCAGACCCCTTTAAATAGTGTGATAACTCAAATTGTTTTCAAATTGAGGTGGCTGTGCTTCTGAGTCTCATCTGTGGAGCCAGGGGCCTTGGGGCCACCTGCACAGTCCCACTGCTGAGATTGTATCTGCAAGTCCTGCCCGCTCTCCCAGGACTCTGCTGGCCAGGGGCTGAGCTCTGAAGCCTCTCCAACTTCAGGTGGAATTCTGGGTCCTGGCCCAGCCCAGAGCACTGGAGGATCTCAGCAGCCCTCCTCGGCACACAGGAGGAGTGGGTGCTGAGCTGGCACAACAAATCTATCCTCCTGTCCCCACCCTGGGATTTCTGATCTGCTGCAGGATGTGGAAGAACCCAGCTCCCACCTCTGCTAACTGTGCGTAATTCCTCAGTGGGGAGGGCATCACTGTCTCAGACAAGAATGAGGGGCTGCCCCACAGTCTCTGCACCTCTCAAGTGATCTCCGGAGGCAGCTGGCTACGATCCTGGGACCTACGTAGTCACTGGTGCCGATGTCCATGCTAATGACTCTAGTGGCCACCTCTGTCCAGGCCAGGGCTGAATCCCGGCACCAACATAACTTTTTCCAAGCAGCCTAGATTAATTAGGTAAATGAAAAAAAACAAACAAACAAAAAAACAACTGTGAGGTAAAGAGACCTCCAGCATAATCCTAGCTTTTATCACATAAATAGAGGGTGAGGGTACTCACTCCACCAAACCAAAAGGACTCATACACAGTGCAAGGTGCCATGTGCCTTCACAAAGAGAAGAGTCATGTCAATATCAATCCTACAGCGATTCAACTCCACAGAGACAAATGGTGTTTTAAAAATTCCATTTTATTCATTGGTAGTTTTTCCCTTTTTAACAAAATTGTCTATATTTAAGGCATACAACATGATGTTTTGACATACATATACAGAGTGAAATAGTTACTACAGTCAAGCAAATTAAAATATTCATCATCTCGCATAGTTATTTTTTGTGCGTGTGTATGGTAAGAGCACCTAAAATCTACTGTCTTCACAAGTTTCCAGTATACAGTATAAGATTATTAACTATGCTGTATACTATACCTTCAGATTTACGTATCCTACCTTTGCACCCTTCGACCTCTCTCCATTTCTCCCTTTCTCATCCCCAGTAACAGCCATTCTACTGTCTCTTTTCTTTGTATTTAACTTCTCTTTTAGATTTCACATATGAGTCACAGTATTTTCCTTTCTGTGGCTGGCTTATTTCACTTAACATAATGCCCTCCAGGTTCATCCATATTGTCAAAAATGGCAGTATCTCTTTTTTAAAGGCTGTATAATATTCCAGTGTGTGTGTGTGTCTGTGTGTGTGTGTGTATAAAAGTATACTGATTAAGGAAAATGTTTAAGCTGTACTTGTCTGTGATCTGAATTAGACCCGTGATTGTATCCTTTCCTTTGACTGACATTTATAATCCCCAATCCCTTAATAAGTTGTGCTAACACAGGGAAATTACTTTACCAAATCCCTGTGATATATATATATGTCCCATTTGTGTCTTTTTTTGCTTTTGTTGCCTGATTTTTTGATGTAATATTCAAAAAAATCATTGCCAAGGCCAATATCAAAGAGCTTTCCCCTATTTTCTTCTATAAGTTTTACGTTTTCAGGTCCTAATTTAGATCTTTAATCTATTTTGAGTTGATTTGTGTGTGTGTTGTGAGATAGGGTCTAATTTTCATGTGGCTATCCTGATTCCCCAACACAATTTACTGAAGAGACTATGATTTCTGCATGTGTCTTCTTGGTGCTGTTTTCAAAAATTGGTTGATTGTATATGCTTGGGTTTATTTCTGGGCTGTCTATTCTGTTCTGTTGGTTTATGTGTCTGTTTTTATGCCAATAACATACTATTTCAAATACTATAGGTTTGTACTAAAATTTAAAAATCACCAAGTATGATGTCTTCATCTTTGTTTTTCTTTCTTAATAGCTTTGGCTATTGGGGTCTTCTGTGAGTCCATCCAGATTTTAGAATTGATTTCTCTAGTTCTGTAAAAAATGCCATTGGAATACCGACAAGGATGGCTTTGAATCTTCATACTCCTTTGTGTAGTATGAACATTTTAACAATATTAATTATTTCAATCCATGAATATGGGATCTCTTTCCATTATTTGTGTCATCTTAAATTTCTTTTATCAATGTTTTATAATTTTCAGTGTACAGATCTTTCAGCTATTTGGTTAAATTTATTCTTAATTATTTTATTCTTTTTAATGTCATCATTAGTGAAATTGTTTTCTTTATTTTTTATTTTTTGGATAAGTCATTATTGTTGTGAAGAAAGATACAGATTTTTGTATGCTGATTTTGTATCCTCCAACTTTACTGAATTTGTTTATTAGTTTAAACAGGTTTGTGTGTGTTTGTGTGCTTGAAGTTGTTAGGGTTTTCTACATATAGGATCATCTCAGCAGTAAACAGGTAAAATTTTACTTCTTTTCTTATTTGGATGCCTTTTATGTTTTTTTCTTGTCTGACTGCTCTGGCTAGCACTTTCAATACTACGTTGAATTGAAGTTGCAAGAATGGGCATCCTTTCTGGATCTTAGAGGAAAAGCTTTCAATTTTTCCCACGGCTTATGATGCTATCTCTGGGATTTTCATAAATAGCCTTTATTATGTTGAAGAAGTTTCCTTCTGTAACTAAAATGTTGAGACTTGTTAATCAAGAAAGAATGCTGAACATTGTCAAATGCTTTTTCTGCATCTATTGAGATGAACATGAATAATCTTGAAGAGCACTTTGTGAAAGTGACTTACAGAGTGGTTGTGCCTAGAGCACTGACCCAAAAAATGATCAAGTGGTGGCCAGGCATGGTGGCTCATGCCTGTAATCACAGCACGTTGGGAGGCCGAGGCGGGCATATCGCCTAAGATCAGGAGTTCTAGACGAGCCTGGCAAACATGACAAAATCCTGTCTCTACTAAAAATATAAAAAATTAGCCGGGCATGGTGGCGGGCACCTGTAATCCCAGCAACTTGGGAGCCTGAGGCAGGAGAATGCTTGAACTCGGGAGGCAGAGGTTGCAGTGAGCCCAAATTGTGCCGTTGTACTCTAGCCTGGGCAACAGAGCAAGCACAAAAAAAATCAAGTGGGTAAGAATTGCCAAATATACATAAGGAAAAATGATCTCAGAGAGGCTGGAGGTGGGTGGACAGATCAGCTTAGCCTCTAAGGGCATGTATATGCTTGTAGTAGGAAGTTATATATAAGGGCCTTCTCTTTATAGCAACAGTAGCTTCTGCCCTGATTCTAGGTAATTGTCAACATCTACCCAAAGTAGTAAGTATTAGATACTTGATGAGTGCGGATCAGGTGAAAGTAATAAGTGTTGGTTGTAAGAGGTGACAAGAAGGGCTATTCAACAAATGGTGTTGGAACCAGCGGCTAGCCACTTAAAAAAATCCATTAAACTCGTTCTTACCGTACTCTTACCACCAATAAATTCCATGTGGATAAAAAACTTAAAAAATTTGAAACCATAAGATTTAAAAACTCATGGGTGTGTGGGCTGGGCGTGGTGGCTCACACCTATAATCACAGCACTTTGGGAGGCTGAGGCAGGCAAATCACAAGGTCAGAAGATCGAGACCATCTGGCCAACATGGTGAATCCCCGTATCTACAAAAAATACAAAAATTAGTCAGGCACGGTGGCATGTGCCTGTAGTCCCAGCTACTCGGGAGACGAAGGCAGGAGAATTGCTTGAACCTGGGAGGTGGAGCTTGCAGTGAGCTGAGATCGCACCACTGCACTCCAGTCTGGTGACAGAGAAAGACTCTATCTCAAAAAAAAGAAAAAAAAAAAAAGATGTGTTTATTGATAATCTCTGTATCTCTGTATAGAGAAGTCCTTTCTAGTATAGAAGTCATAGATTTAAAAAATTATAAATTTATACCATAAAAGTATGCACACTTTTTGTATGACAAAATTACTTTTAAAAATGTGATAACCAGGACAAATACTTGCAACATATATGAGAAAAAGAGGCTTAATTTTCTTAGATGATGATGATGATGATGATTATTATTATTATTATTTTTTTGAGACGGAGTTTCGCTCTTGTTACCCAGGCTGGAGTGCAATGGCGCGATCTCGGCTCACCGCAACCTCCGCCTCCTGGGTTCAGGCAATTCTCCTGCCTCAGCCTCCTGAGTAGATGGGATTACAGGCAAGCGCCACCATGCCCAGCTGATTTTTTGTATTTTTTAGTAGAGACGGGGTTTCACCATGTTGACCAGGATGGTCTCGATCTCTTGACCTCGTGATCCACCTGCCTTGGCCTCCCAAAGTGCTGGGATTACAGGCTTGAGCCACCGTGCCCGGCCAATTTTCTTAGATTATAAAAAGGTGGTACAAACCAATACAGAAAAGCTGGCACGAACCAGTAAATTAAATATTGGGCAAAGAATTTGAATGGGCAGCTTATAAGAAAAATCACACAGATGTCTGATAAGCACATTCACTTGAAATTAATAATGCATATCCAAATCATAACAGGATATCGTTGTTCACGTAATTGGCAAAGATTATAAAGTTTTTAAAATAATTAGTGCCAGTGAAGATATGTGGAGAAAGGAACTCACAAATATCGTTATGGGGACTGTCGACTGATAGTCATGTTGCCAACATTAATAGACTCATCTGAGAGCAATTTAAAAATAACAATTATAATTTTCAATGTATGCTCCCTTTGATCCAGGAATTCGACTGCATGAGTTTAGACTACTACTACCTTGACTAAATTATGCCAAAACGTACAGGACAAGGATGGACATTACAGCATTGCTTACAATAGCAGGAACAACTGAAATTTACCTAAAATGTCCACCAGCTGAGACTGGTTAGACAATAGAACTTTATGAAGCAGTTTTTAAAAAAGTGAAAAGTTGATTGGTAGAGCTTGCATATAGAGGATCTTTAATTTTAATATGTAGAAAATAAAGAAGCAAGGCTAAGGGCAACATATTCAGCAATATTTGATACAGTTTTTAAATTGTACAAAAACACATTTGGGCACATCCCCCAATGTATTTATTTATTTATAGAATATATACAGGTATATAATCAGATACAAAAATAGAGCAAAAGGGGTGAATTAAAACAAAGAAATATAAGCTCAATTTTTTTTTACACTCTTTTACACCCAAGAGACTTTCTTGGATGTGTGCACCTGCTCCACATGAGAGTGGTGTGAGTACAGCATTATGGAAATGTAAAACTTTGTCTGCAAATTCTTTGACATTTCTTCCATTGGGAGATGAAATCCCCTTCACACTGGACAGGCTTTTGTGGTTGTTTTGACCAACAGGGGAGGAGAGAAATGATAATATGTGATACTGAGTCTAGGATGTAAAAAGTGATGCATCTTCTGCCTCGTTGCTAGGATACTTGTTCTTAAGCCTTTAGTGGCTAAGTGGGCCGCCTGAGATCGCCATGCTGAGAGGAAGCCCAAACTAACACAAGTGGAAAGAAGATGGGGAGAGAGACATGCTCAGGTGCTCCAAGCTTCAGCCTCTGCCTGCCTCTGCACAAGCAATACCAGACCAGCCTACTGAGCTCTTTCCACATTCCTGACCCACGGAAACCAGAAGTGGGGACAAACACTTGCTGCTGTTTTAGACCACTATGTTTGGGGATGATTTGTTATGTAGCAATAAATAATAGAAACAACCATGATCCCCAATTTTTGCACACGTGTGTGTGTGTGTGTGTGTGTGTGTGTGTGGTGTTGTGTATGCAATTGACCCTTGAACAACATGAGCTGGAACTGTGCAGGTCCACTATACACAGATTCTCTTCTGCCTCCGCCACCCCTGAGACAGCAAGACCAGTCCCTCCTCTTCCTCCCTCCTCCTCAGCCTACTCGACATGAAGACAATGAGGATGAGGACCTTTAGGATGATCCCCTTCCACGTGACACATAGTAAGTATATTTTCTCTTCCTTATGATTTTCTTAATAACATTTTCTTTTCTGTAGCTCACTTTTTTCTAAGAATACAGTATCTAATACGTGTAACATACAAAATAGGTGTTGCTTGATTGTGTTACTGGTAAGGCCTCTGATCAACAATAGGCTTTTGGTAGTTTTGTTTTAGGGGAGTCAAGAGTTAATGTGCAGATTTTTCAACTGTGTTGGGGATTGGTGCACCTAACCCTCATGATGTTCTAGAGTCAACTGTATGTGTATATGTGTACACACACACACAGACACACACAATATTTTTATAGATGCAAATGTACATCCACATTTGCTGTGCTTCGCCTAATTTTGAGGGAATAGAGAACAGAAGGAAGTGCTGAGAGTGGTTATTTTTGAGTGGTGGACTGGAAGGCAGGGAAGCTGTGATAGTTAATTTTAGGTCTTAACTGGATTAAGGAATACCTAGAGAGCTGGTAAAGCCTCAAATCTGGGTGTGTCTGTGAGGGTGTTTCCAGAGGAGACTGGCACATGAGTCAGTGGACCGAGTGGGAAAGATCTACCCTCAATGTAGGCAGGCACCATCCAGTCAGCTGGGGGCCCACACAGAACAACAAAGCAGAGGAAAGGAGAATTCCTTCTTTCTCTCTCCTGGACCTGGGACATCCTGCTTCTGCTGCCCTTGGATAGCAGAACTTCAGGCTCTTCAGCCTTTAGACTCCAGGACACCCTTGGTTCTCATGCCTTGGGCCTCAGACTGAGAGCTGCACCACTGGCTTCCTTGGTTCTGAGTCTTTCGGACTTTAACTGAGCTACACTATGGGCATGTAGTGTGCAGACGGCCTGTTGTGGGACTTCCCTGCCTCCTTAATCACATGAGCCAATTCCCCTGATAATCCTCCCTTGTCTATCTGTCTGCCTGTCTATCTATCTATCTATCTATCTATCTATCTATCTATCTATCTATCATCTATTTATCTATCTATCCATCTATCTATCTAATCTATCTATCTTTCCATCCATCTATCTCCTATTGGTTTTGTCCCTCTGGAGAACTCTGACTGATACTAAGATCATCTTTGTTAGAAATGGAATGTTAATGCTTTATCGTTGCCTGCATGGTCTATAATTTTTTTCTCGTGTTTCTTTTAAAATCTTGACCTGGCTTGGGAGGAGACCATCTTTCGTCTGCTCATACTAGCTCATCTAAAGTCTGGAAGCACAAAGTTTCTGCACAGTACCAACCTGGACTGAACAACGGTAATGTGCTTAACACTATCCAAAATTGATTCTAGTTCTCAACTGTGCAGCCCTGGAGTCATATCTGAAGGTCCATATCCTGGCTCCATCATTTCTTATCCTCTCTAAATTTCAATTTCCTCTTCTGAAAAATGCAAATAATATCAGTACCTGCCTATGTTAGTTATCTATTGATGTATGATAAATTACCCCAAAACTTAGCAGCTTGAACCAATAAACATGTATTAGCTACAACTTCTGTGGGTTATGGAGCCAGGCACGACTCAGCCAGGAGCTTCTGGTTCAAAGTATCTCATGAGGTTGCAGTCCAACTACTGTCTGATGCTGCGGTCCCATCTGACGTGTGACTAGTGATTAGGGTGGGATCCTCTTCCAAGTCCATGCACGTGGTTGTCAACAGGATTCCATCCCTTACAGTCTGTTGGACTGAGAGTTTCACTTCCTCACTGGCTGTTGGCTGGGGGTCTCCCTCAGCGCTTTGTCACATAGACCTCTCTGCAGGGCAGCTCACGGTATGGCAACTAGAGCACCAAAGACAGAAGCCACAGACTTTTTACATCCTGATCTTGAAGGGGGACATCCTGTTACTTTGACATACTCTACTCATTCAAGGCAAGTATATGAATCCAGTCCACACTCGAGGAGAAGGGATTATAAAAGGAAGTGAATGCCAGGAGGTGAGGATCAACAGGGGCCATTGCATAGGCTGCCTGCCACAGCACCCATAGAGTGGTTGTGAGCATTAAATAAATTAATGTCAGTGTTTAAAACATATCGCAATACAGTATTGCTCAACAGATGAAAGGTCTTATTAATATTATAGATATCTGTCCATGTTTAACATTCAATATCAAGTGTTTTTTGTTTTTGTTTTTGTTTTTGTTTTTGAGACAGTGTCTTGCTCTGTCACCTAGGCTGGAGTGGTGGTGTGGTCCCCACTCACCGCAACCTCCACTTCCATAGTTCAAGCTATTCTTCTGTCTCAGCCTCCCAAGTAGCTGGAACTACAGGCGCACGCCAGGCTGATTTTTGTATTTTTAGTAGAGACAGGGTTTTGCCACGTTGGCCAGGCTAGTCTTGAACTCCTGACCTCAAGTGATCCATCTGCCTTGGCCTCTCACAGTGCTGAGATTACAAGCGTGAGTCACCTGAAGTACTCTTTTTCAGCAACTAATTTATAGTGATATTTCAGTGAGGTTTTCGCCAGAAATGCACTAATTTATCCATGTAGGTGTTTTCTCAGACTCCCCAGGGCAACACCGACTTAGGAGCGGCTCCTGCCAAGCAGTGATATGGGCTGGCCCTGTCGTGGCTTTCGGCTTTCTCAGTACAGCTCATCGAGTGGTCATCGAGTGTGTATTAGTGCCTATAACAAGATGGGAACCCAGGTAGTAACTGAGGACCCAGCAGTGAACTAGGCATGTATAGCTTCTGCCTTTCCAGAGCACACAGATTAGTGGAGGAGGTTCAGACAGAGAAAAGACAACTTCAGCCATTCCTGAGCACTCTTCAATACTGATACCCCGAAAAGCATAAACCTAAATGATTACTCTTCTCTCACTACCTCAATATTTGAAGGTAAATGAGGAGGTTTATTATTGTTATTTAATTTCAGAAATACATAAAGTGTCTAATTGAAATCTATTTAATACTTAAAATGTTATATTTATGAAATTTACTAACACTAGGTACACCCTCACTTAGGTGGGACAGGAAGCTAAACTTCTTGCCACTATCATGAGATTGGGTTTGGCACAGTGTGGTGATACTCTGGTTTCCTAGGAGACTTAACCCTGGCATAGGCTCACAGCTAGGACACACACAAGTATTGCTATCCTCACCAGGTGTTCAGCTGCTCTTCGTACAAGCATCTCTACTGTCTCAAAGCGTATATATTCATGCATTCACCAGCTATTTTATGAACAATAAGCAAATGCTATATTGGGGGTTCTCTTTGGATCCCACCTATTTCCAAATTTCCAAGACTGCATTCTCTCCATTCACTGTCCTCCAACACAGCTTCCGAAACTCTGAATGGGGTCTTCCGCTCGTAGCCATGGCCAGCACAGCCTAAGGTAGAGAGCAGAACAGGAGCCGCTGGAGTGGACTTGGCATCAATCACAGAAACAACAGCGACAAGCCACAAATACTCAAGAAGCAGGGAAAAGGGGTAAGGGAATACCGTTACAAAACGCTGAAGTTCTCCAAACATTTTAAACCTTTTCTTCTCACTCTGACGATTCCCACTTTCTGTGTAGAAAAACAAAGAAAAAGAAGATACGTTGTATTAGGCACAACCTCCAGAGTGAGTTGACCCAGAGTCTTTATAGAATGAGAAGGGAGAGAATTCGTAATTAAATAAACAGCGAACAAACCTCAGGATAAAGGTTACCCCATATCTTACCTAAACTCTACAGTACTATAATTTATTCAGTCGGCGAATAAGTATTTGTTAGCATCTAATCTATACTAGGTACTATTCTAAGCTCAAGTTTTATCATGGTGCTCCAGTCTTCTCCTTGTAATATTTACACCCAATAAACACTTATCACGAAACCTACTGGCGTGCAGAGCTATAATCTGTAACCTATCATACACTTTGGAAAAATATTAACAGAACTTTGTAAAAATGTCTACACAAACCAAATATTCAGGAAGATACCAATTCTGAAACAAGCTCTGTCTTTATTAAAGAACTCATCTGCTGGAAATGTTTCTTGTTAATTGCCTTCAGATATTTAGTGTATATCTGTGATGTCATGATTTTCTAGGGCATATTCTCCAACAAATGTTATGTAAGCTATGTGTTCTTTCATGTTTATAAACTAGCCCTTTACCAGTTGGAAATATAACATCTTCTTGCACTAACATCCTACCTTGTTTTATCTGTGCAAATCTCAGCAAAATCTTGTGCAACTGTATTAGTCAGCTTCACTGCATAACAAACAATCCCCCAAAACCTCAGTGGCTTACATCATCCATTTATTTCTTCCTCATGAGACATGCAGGCTATGAGTCTGCTGTCGCAGCTATTTTCTCATCCCAGGATGCAGCTGAAGGAGCAGCTCCTATCTGGGAAATTCTTTTCTCTTGTATGAGGGCAGAAGAGCAAGAGACCAAGCAGAATCACACCATCACATTTAAAGCTTCTGCTCCTAAGTGGCATATACCTTGTCTACTCACATGTCATTGGCTAATGAAAATCACATGACCAATGACCAAGCCTGACAGGGAGTCAGGGAAATATATTTACCTATCTATAAGGGGTCTAAGGCAGGGATGGATAATCCTTTTAAAGAAGAAGGGACAAATAATTGCAAACAATACTATAATCCACTACAGTAACCACTTGGCAATTTCCAAAATAGTGAGGAACTTACAGGCACATTTTTCTCTGGATCTACATTTCTGTCCATTCATTGAAGAACACAGGCAGATCCTCAATCATGGCACACGTAACCTACTGGAAAGGAAAGTCGTCACTGTGAAGGACACTGAACTAAGCCCAACATCTGTTAAAAGACCGCAGATTTTGAAATTTTAAAAAACAAATGCTGAACCTCATTATTACAACACTAGGGTTAACAAAGGCTTGCCGTAGTTTACTCAGCATTATGCTGGCAACTTCACTTCACTAGTGTCCAATGTTGTTTTTAGTTTCTGGGATTCAAAACCAAAAGAAGGGAAAGGAGTGGCTAACATTCATGCTAACAGTAGTATAATGCTCTAAAATGTGTTTAAATAGCACTTCCACATTCACAGTAATTGCAGAAGTGATGAACACAGTTAAGAAGGACATGCTGTACTTGGGTAATTAGAATTAGAACTAGGAGAGACAGGATAATATTTGCTTTTATATGAGAAGTAAAATTACACTGTTACATGTGCTTAATCATTGTAGGGACCTAAATCATTGCAAGTATGTGTTTATGCCATTTGTTGGAAAAAAAAACTGGGACAGGATACCATTTTCCTTCCTTTAATATTTTTAAATCACCCTCTACAGGACAGGCGCTGTGAGATGAATATCTCATACTTATATATACACACGCCTATTATTTCCACATCTCTGATTTTCCCCTGTACCCAGGGATTTACTTCTGGTCATAAAAGATGGCTTACCTTAGATTTCCTGCCATAAAGCTCCTTCCCTTTATACTAAGTCATACTTTCTACAGTTGGCTTAAAAGACACATTTTATAATGAGAAAGCTAAAATGGAGTCTTTTTAAAGACATGCCCAAGACACGCATACTAACGAGATGACCACTTCACTCCTTAATTTGCGGTTCATTGAGATGATTGATTGACATATAGAAAGTTAGATAGATAAATAGATACATGGATGAAAGGTAGATGACAAGAGAGAGTTGAAACATAGATGATAGAGAGAGATGAACAGTTTCTCATACTTGGCATACGGAGTGAGGAAGTCAAAGTAAAACAATGGTAAGCACTACACCTCCGGGTCGTCAGACCCACCTCAAATTGGAAAGCGTGGTCAAGCCAACCATCTAGGAAAGAAACAAGAGCTGTGTCAACTTTGTCATTCAAATAAATGTCCATGGCCAGCCGCGGTGGCTCACGCCTGTAATCCCAGCACTTTGGGAGGCTGAGGCAGGCAGATCAGGAGGTCAAGAGATCGAGACCATCCTGGCCAACATGGTGAAACCCTGTCTCTACTAAAAAAAAAATACAAAAATTAACTGGGCATGGTGGCATGCGCCTGTAGTCCCAGCTACTTGGGAGGCTGAGGCAGGAGAACTGCTTGAACCCAGGAGGCGGAGATTGCAGTGAGCTGAGATTGCGCCACTGCACTCCAGCCTGGCGCCTGGCAACAGAGCAAGACTCTGTTTCAAAAAAAAAAAAACCAAACAAAAATAAACATCCACAATGAAAATTGTGCCTTCTCAAATAATTTGGAGCTCCACATTTTGACATTTCATATAATGGCTAGCATATTATGACTATGTGGTAGATGTTACAGTGAATTGTGTCCCCCTAAATTCATGTTGAACCCCTAGCCCCACTACCTCAGAATGGGACTCTATTTGGAGACAGGATCTTAAAGAGGTAGTTAAGCTCAAATGAAGTCATTACTGTGTGCCCTAATTCTGCATGACTGGTGTTTTTTAAGAAGAGGAAATTAGGGTACAGATGCACTCAGAGTGAAACCATGTAAAGTGAGCCGGTGAAGGTGGCCATCTATTAGCCAAAGAGAAAGCCCTCAGGAGAAACCAACCCCGATGGCACCTTGAGCTCAGACATCTAGCCTCTAGAACTGTGAGAAAATAAATTATATTGCTTAAATTACTCAGTCTAGGGTACTTTGTTTTGATAGCCCTAGCAAAATCAGCTTCTCTTCAATTTATCTGCAAAAAAAAAAAAAAAAAAAAAAAAAAAAAAAAAAAAAAAAAAAAAAAAAAAAAAAAAAAGAGAGAGAGAGACAGCGAGATAATATTACCAATATGTACATTTTACTTAGTAGGACAGCATGGAAAATGGGTATATACTTGCTCTTGTCTGGGCCTGGGTTCAACTCACTGGCTCTGCCACTTACTAGCAATGTATGTAACCTTGGACAAATTACTTAATCTCTTTGTGTCTCAGTTTGCAGATCTGTAAAATGGGGTAATGGTACTTATCTCGCCAAGTTGTCAGGAGGAATAAATGAATTAATAATGTTTGAAAGCACTTAAATAGTGCTTAACACATTGCGACCAGTGCATAAATAGGAAATAAAACAGTTGGAAAGTGTTTTGAAATCCAGTCTATAAAATTCTTTTAAATTCTAACAAAAGAAAGTCTAAGTGTAGAGTATTCTTATTACAGTGAGAAAATATTTGTCACAGCATTTAGAGTTTCTAATCTGTTCAGAAGAGGGGCTATTGGGTTGAGTTTGCATTTATAGGAAGAGAGACGACTCAACGACTGTGCTCTGACGATGAGGATGGTCATGACCCATGCACCCTGATGGCCGTGATTGTGAACCATTTCTGGAGAGGATTTGAACATTTGCCAAAGCTTTCACACTTGCTGGCTTTCCCCGCAGCATTCATTGCCATGAGAACTATGGAGGGAGTACAGAATGTGTGCTGAAAATTGCGGCCGGGCGCGGTGGCTCACGCCTGTAATCCCAGCACTTTGGGAGGCCGAGGCGGGTGGATCACGAGGTCAAGAGATCGAGACCATCCTGGTTAACACGGTGAAACCCCGTCTCTACTAAAAATACAAAAAATTAGCTGGGCATGGTGGTGTGTGCCTGTAATCCCAGCTACTCAGGAGGCTGAGGCAGGAGAATTGCCTGAACCCAGGAGGCGGAGGTTGCGGTGAGCCGAGATCGCGCCATTGCACTCCAGCCTGGGTAACAAGAGCGAAACTCCGTCTCAAAAAAAAAAAAAAAAAAAAAGAAAATGTTCACAGGTGCAATTTGCGCATGACTTGCTACAGAACCGGGGTAAACACAACTTGGTTTCTACTGGTCAAATTTTAACTCAAGATAAACTTGCTGACTGTGAAGTGTAGCACGTGATTGTTCAGTGTGTGATACTGAACATAAACAGAGTCGGGGGAGTAGGGGCATCCCAGGGTCCAGGGGACAGTGTGTGGCTCCTTGGGGAAGGCCAGCCTGGCTGCAATCTGCTCTGATCCAGCAGACCCCGCAGCTTGCCTCTGCTTGTGGTTCGTAAATGAGGAACATCACATGGTTGACTGTGAAGGTGTTTGGGGACTTGGAGCTCCCAGCCCACTGGTTTTTAATTCTTGTTATAGTTTCTGCTTGGAAATCCCGAAGGACTGGCAACTGCCTAGATAGCAGTTTTGACCAACAAAATCGTAAACAGAAATGACCAGGCATGGAAAATGAGTTTCTAAAAAATTAAATTAAAAAAAAGTTTAGACTCAGGGTGTATTTGTGGAGGTGTGTTCGAAGGGTATATTGCGTAACGCCGGGCTTTGGGCTGCTATTGAATCCATCACCCCTATCGTGAACATAGTACCCAACAGGTAGTTTTCAGCCCTTACCCCATGTCCTTCCTCTCCTCTTCTGGAATCCCCAGTGTCTACTGTTTGTATCTTTATGTCCACGTATGCCCATTGTTTAGCTCCCATTGATAAGTAAAAATACACAAAAGTTGGCTTTCTGTTTCTGTGTTAATTCACTTAGGACAATGGCCTCCAGCTGCATCCATGTTGTTGCAAGGGAGATGATTTGATTCTTTTTTTAGGGCTGCATAGTATTCCATGGTGTGTATGTATCACATTTTCTTTCTCCAGCCCACCATGAATGGGCACTTGGGTTGATTCCATGACTTTGCTATTGTGACTAGTGCAGCAATACACATCTGCCTGCAGGCGTCTTTTGATAGAATGATTTATTTTCCTTTGAGTAGTTACCCAGTAGTGGGATTGCTAGTTCAAATGGTAGTTCTATTTTTAGCTCTTTGCCAAATCTCCATACTGTTTTCCATAGGGGCTGAACTATTTTACATTCCCAATGAGAGTGTATAAGCATTCCTTTTTCTGCACATCCTCATCAGCATCTGCAATTTCTTGACTTTTTAATAGCCATGCTGACTGGTGTAGATGGCATCATTGTGATTCTCATTTGCATTTCTCTGATGAGTAGTAATACTGGGTATTTTCTTAAATGTTTGTTGGCCACTTGTATGTATTCTTTTGAGATGCGTCTATTCATGTCCTTTGCCCACTTGGATGATGAGTTTATAAGCCAATTGGGAAAAGAGGAAAGGGTCTTCAGTAGGGAGATGGCACCTGAGATACATTTTGGAGGATATTACCTCTCTGAGATCAAACTTGCCTTTGATACACTGGGAACATTTTTATGAGCATAAAAATTACTAAAAGAGCCCGAAATATTTTTCTCTCCTGTCGTTTCAATCCACGGAGCTATTAAAATTTTCAAAACTTCAGGGCAAGGAAGAAATATATCATCTGAATATAAGCATTTGAGTAACCAATCTCTGCCAGAGGTGGGGCCGGGAGGTTGACAATACTTTATACATATTTTTATTTACATAGAACTGAGCCTTTGCTAACCTCACATATCTAGAAAATAGCTTAGAAACAATGAATTTGTTAAAAATAAAAACAATGCTTGAGAAATGCTTTTCTCATACTTTTGTCATAGAAGAAGCAGCCCTCGGTCCCTGATTTAGAAAGCATCTATGTTTATTGTGCACATATCCCTAACCAGTGTGAGTTTCTCCATGTACACAGCAATTCAGAAATAGAAAATCAGCAATAGGGAGAAGGCTTTGCATAGCCTTACACACTAACAAGAAATAACTGCTAACGGCCCAGAGAAGGGAGCAACAGAAAAGTGTAAAAAACAGACAGGCACAAGAATTCCAAAAGACACAGTAATTTGGGACCTCTCAGTGGGCAGGCAAATATTTCTCTCTGTCTCTCTCTGTCTCTCCCTGTCTCTCAGTGGCCTAAGCCCATTTTTTTAATCCAACAGCAGTGAAAGCGGTTCTTTTTATGATTACTTTAAGACCAAACAAATTTACAAAAAGAAGTTAAATGAAGTTCCTCCACTCTTTAAGAAAGTGGGGAAGGTTGAATTACATTTTAGAAAGTTTTCTGCCCAAAATCTTTTTTCTGCCTCCCACCCTCCTTTCCTTCCATCTCTCTT